TTCGATTGTGCTCTACAATAGAATGTAAATACACCTTTAAATATGTATGTTAATAATTGGAAAGGAAAGACATGAAATATATTTTTTCTGTGGCAGTTCTGAAAGTTTCTGAAATTATTTTTTATGTGATAGTGTGATGGTGTCTCCTTAATATAACCCTCTGATACCTAAATGTTGGCTTGCTTATAACTTGAAAGTGCTTTCGTTTGTATTTTAATGTTTTACACTGAACCCTTCAACTCATTCCTTTTTTAATAGAGCCAAAATACTTCAACATTCACTCACACTCACAAAAGTAAGCGAGGAGGACGAATGGAAGAAGAAAGAGAAAAACAAGACACAACCAAGAGTTTACATGTTCGATTTGGCAACTCACAAATAAAAGTGCAGAGGAAGCAAAGGAAAAGAAGTAGAAAAGGGCAAGTTAGACGCAGACAAGTGTATTAGAGTGTGATTGGGAGGACACGAAGGGGAGGCCAATTTTATTTAGAAGGCGGAAGAAGACGGGTGAAAGGGGATGTTAGGATTCGATTGGAGTGGGACGGCCGGGAGCGAGGGCGGGGCGCGGTGGGCGGGAGCGGGGGCGGGAAATGGCGGGGAGAGGGCGAGGCGGAAGCGAGGGTGGGGGCGGGACGGGCAGAGGGCGGGGGGGGCCGAATGCGGGGCGAGGGCGGGCGAGGGCGGGTGGAGGGCGGGGGCGGGCGAGGCGGGGCGAGGCGGGGCGAGGCGGGGCTGACCTGGCGTCCAGATGCCGGTCAGCGGTGGAAGATGACCGGGTGGCCGTCCGGGCGCACGGAGACGCCGCTCACCTCGCCCAGCCACGGCAGCGGCCCGGGCCAGCCCGGCACCTCGCGCGGCCGCGGCGCCCACGGGAACTCATCCTGCGCACACACACACACACATCAAATAAAATGACAGAGTCAAAAACAATTCAAATTTAAACACATTTTTAAATTAAACAATTTTAAGACATATGGATGCAATCCTGTCTCGGAATAAATTTTACAAAAGTCTAAGGAATGAAGGGGATTTGAAAATGATCACTTTGGGCACGTGAGGCAAAATGCACCAAGGGTAATACTGTGAAAAAAAGGTTCAGGCAATAGTACAGAGAAAATTACTGTCTAATTTTATTTGTAGTTATTCCCGAAAACATACTTTTTAAAGAAAGTAAAATGCGTCGATTTTGATTTAATGAGATTTATATCTCAATGTTTTAGATTTTTGTTTTTTATTTTTACCATCATAATAACGAATAGAAAGGTGCTCTAAAGGGAATGTTTAATGTGTTTGGGTAATATACTGACATTTTTAATTGTTGTGCTCAGAATATTGCATTTATCTAAGGACAGCAGTAAAATTATATTTTTATTCCCCTCACTTTTAGATGGTGATTTAAATCATTCGTTCTCATAAAAAGAACTTTAGACATAGTTATTTACCCTTGTAACGTATCTAGTATTGAGTTAATCAAAGGTGGGCACCTCGTTATTTTTCCTTAGGAGATATACTCGCCACGTAAAATAAGGCAAATTCAATTCAATACTCATTTAACCTTATCATGTTCTTAGATTTTTCCATATTTGTGCCATTGAATACAATTTTTTAATAGTTTATCTTAACATGAGTCCGATTTAACCCGAAATGTTCACGGATTACATGAAAGTGCAGCAGTCAGTTGATGCCAAAGATCGCCATTGTTGAGTAGGAAAAGGCGAAACGTTGTTTCCTTCCACGGCACAATGGACCTGATCCATCCTCCAAATAAGTACATAAGCATCATCTTAAAACGCCGCGCGAGAGCTCCGGTGAGTCAGGCGGCACTTGTGCAGCTGGAGTTCTCCGGTTTTATGCGCCACCGCTTGTCTTCGCAGCAGAGGGGCGGCCGCTGCCACAAAGGGACTTGCGAGCAAAGGGGCGGATTTACGAGGGCTGCTAAATAAAGGCCGCCATCGAACTCCGGAAACGATAAAAATCAGCGGCGAGCGAACGCGGCGACGACGCGCCGTCGCGCTTCCAGCGGCGACTGTCGCCAAGGCACAATGGGCCCAACCACCGACGTGTCGCGCGTGGCCTGCAGTAGTGGCACAACTCGAAAAATACAATTTTTTTGAGTTAATGCACTCTCCGGGGTTACAGATTGGTCTACCTTCCAGAACTAACAGCAGCATATACCTACAGTTCAGTATTCCACTAACAAATGACAGAAGTGTGAATGCAAAAGTGTTGAGTGAATGATGCGTTTCAATACAAGGTGAAAACTTCAAACTCATGTACCTCAACACCTCATATTTTTTAATTGTGTCACTACTCGGCCCACGAACGATAAGGTACATCTCGACAATTCTTTGATATGATGACTGATTAGTGATCCAAGCGCTTGAACTGATAAGACCATTCGTCCCGTAAATGTAGAGTGTGTTTTAACACTCTAGGTCGAAGGCAATCTTCCCCCGCTAGCGAGATCCGGTGACAACCTACATCGGCTTGCGGGCATTTTCCTCAACCAAGTATCTCCCACCACTGTGGCACCACCCTAGGCGGGACAAGCTCTAAGCTCCCGACTAGATTCCCGATTGGTCTCCTGGAAAGCAGTGTACTGCATGTACGTGTTACTGTGTGTAAGGGGTGAGGAAAAGACAAGGAAGGGAAAGGAAAGACAGCGCGCCGTCTATGTCCCGAATGATAGGGTACTGCTCCGGCACTCCCGTCGTGTTGATCAGAGAAACCATGGAAAACAGCAGCCGTCCTCTTCCGAATGGAAGCCCATGGACAACAGCAGCCGAATTCTCCTCCAGACAGCGGCTGAATTCTACCTAGCTACATAGCTAGTGTGGAAAATCATGCCAACGTAGGGACTCGAACCTTAGAACGTGACTGGCAGAGGCACATTAGTGGCATCAATTGAAGCTTTGATTCAACCTGAAGCCGGTCTTTGTTTAAAAACAGCAACAGATATTTGTTCTTTTCACTTTCTTTTTTTCGCCTTTTTACTTTCCCATATATATAAGTATATACGGAGTAATATAATGAGGGAAAGTTATGTAATGCTGCGCGAAAAAAAAACACAATTGCCGGGTCCTAATAACGAAAAAGTGGATAAATCCAGTTCCTAAATTAAGAAAAAAATTCTCTGATACGTGGTGAAGCCAGAATCCCTGGTTTGTGGTTACTTGATACCGAAAAATCAATTGAAGGCAAAACGTCCGTCTGTCCGTCTGTGAACACTACTATCGCCTATACCATGCGTAGGATTTTTTCCAAATTGAAGAAAACCCTGTCCATCTGGCTCCAGTCGAAGCTTAGAGAATTTGAAAAACATTCTTTAAAAATTTGTGGGTACTTTACATGAAGCTCCCCGGACATTGTCAATATTTTCTCAAAAACTGCTCCGTTTTTCTTCAAACTTTTGGTAGAGATAGTGCTAAATGTACTCTAAAAGATGACATAAACGCCATATTGCTTTATACTTTAGTTTTTTCAAAAATTACAAAAAAGTAATATTTGACATGTCTCTCACGTCGTTAATATTTATATTAGCGGCAATTTGTTCACATTAATATATTTGAGTACATTTGCATTAAATAATGTCATATAAAGTTTCTCGAATTCTCATCCTATTTTGTGAAAACCACCTATAAATTCCGCATTTTCAGAAACGCTCAAACGTCATTTTCTCAAAACCTGCTCTAACTTTGTTCACCCTTTTCGAAGGAATAGAGCTAATTGCACTGTTTAATATGACGTAAAGTTCATTTTGGAGTATTTCTTGCTGTTTCAAAAATTACACAAATGTAACTTTTTGAAAAATCTCTCTCGACGTTAATATTTACATTTCTAGCAATTTGTAAACAGTATTGTATTTGTGAGTTAAATTGCTTCAAATGACTTTTAATGAACTTTTACAAATAGAAAAATAATACAAGTGTATTTTATAGTTAAATACATTTATGAACACAACTGCTTTAAAAAATTTCTAATGAAGTAACTTAAAATCTCAAAAGTTTTCATGTGAAAATAGCTACAAATACAAAATAGCTACGCATTTCCAAAAAAGCTTAACATTTTTTTTCATGGTCCTCATTTCCCTTCAGAAAAAATATGTAAGAGAAAAAGGTTTTACTATTATTTTATATGCTTAATATCTCATTTCATTTTAAGTGTGATTAACAAATACTTGAAAAAATTAGACAACAAAAGCATGCATGCTTTCTGATAAAACACAATTTCATCAATATAAATATTACAATATATAATTATAAATCATTGTATGAATGTAGGCAAATGTAAGTATATTTGTACAAATATTTTTGTTAATGATATTTTATAAATGATACCATCTCGTTACGGTTAGTCCCAGTGGTGTGACACTAGATAGGCCACATCCGGTCCTTATTCATATTCCATACAGTAGCCAATCAGAGTTCAGAGCAACGCCATATACGTCTGTACAACACCAACTCGCTCAAGCGGAGAATCGGTGAACTACTTTTTCATTTTGAAATTTTTTTCGCGACGGAGCCGGTCGGTTACCCTTGATTCCTTCTCATCGACTATCTTGTAATAAGTTCACGTGCTGTCGTGAGGCGTTACGCCAATAGTGCAGTCAGTGAATATAGAGAAATGAAGTGATTTTAGTGCTGTTTGAACCTGAGGCGTGCATATTGGATTTGAGAAGCTGGCTGGTGCTTAACTGTGAATGCGAAAGCAATTAGCATTAAAACACGTTTATTTAGTTCCAAGAACATGAAAGTGAGTTACATATTATTTATCTTTCGTTTTTATGCATGTAGTTGTTCTAAATCCAGGCTACCAATTAGATTGGTAATATTCTACTTCAATTTTAAAATTTTTATGATAGAAGTAATGCTACTAATAGTCTTACCGGTGATAAATTCCTTTGTGTTTACAGAACTAATGCAATTCACTAAAGCAAGTGTTGGCCTTGTACGATTGAGCAATTGATCATGGTAAGTTTTTGCATTCAAATAATTCAATTGCAAATTGTGGAATTTTTTTCATATTCATGTTCATTTGCGGATCCCTTGTTTAGACACACTGAGGTGACACCCACTATAGCAATGGGTGTAATTGGTAAGACTTTTTAATAGAATATTCGTAGAATATAGAGTTTTAAAAGAAAATATAGTGTGATGGGAGTCTATGTTACCAGCATTTTTTAATTTTCAGATCCTTGTTCACAGGCAGCTTTTCAAACTGAAAATGGTAAGTCTCTTGTATGTATGTAAAATGCAAAAAGAGGCATGCTATTAAAAGCCTAATGTACTGTTAATATTTTGTTGTTGATTAATAGAGACTCTAGTGCTGTTGAACATGCTGTTACAGCAAGTGCAGTAGATGCTTATGCTAGCCCTGTGAAAGGTAAATATTTGCTATAATCTTTAAGAATCTCAATTATTACTTTGTTGCATTTATTGAAGATGTGATAGATTTCAAGTTTGTCTCCATTTTCAGATCTTTTTGACCAATGTGAGGTGTCACCTCAAGTTTTTATGGATGTTTCTCATGGTATGTTCCTTTCAATATACAGTTATTAGTGCCAATTGAGGGCAAATTATAGTAAATAAAAAGCTTTTTTTGGGGTGATTACAGATCCTTGTACTTCTGAACAGGTGCAAGAAGCCATTCTGGGAGATGAATCTGCGACTTCGGTGTGTGGTAAATGCGAGATATTCCTGTGCTTTCTAATTTCGTAATTTAAGATGGTGAATTAAAAGAAACCTCTTTCTTTTTTATACAGATTTGTTTTCAGAACATTCATTTGGGGACATAGTATCTTTAACATTTTTTGCTTTTCAGATCCTCTTCCACAGATGGCTTCTGAAGCATGCATATTAGACCCTACGAGTTTGACCCTAAGTGGCTTTTAATTAAGGTTCTCTTTGAGGAGTCAGAACTCAGAGAGATAATTTTAAAGAATTATTGTTATGTGCAGTGAATGACTTGCTTCATTTTGCACGAAGTTTCTGTATATATCTCTTTTACGCTGACAGTTTGTAATGGTACGAACAACGAGAGTTTTAAAATCAGTGTGTATTCTGCCATCGGATACAGATCCATTACATAAACTCTATTTTCCACATATGAATTGAAAATTTCTAATAAAAATTAAATTTGAAGATAAAATTAATTGTGTTAAGCATGATCATTTTCTCAATTTTGGAATGTCTCTGGCTATGTTAAGACTCTTTATGAATACAAAGGTTTTGAGTTTCTGTTTCAGAGGCTATTTTCAAGCAATTTTAGAATTTCTTTAGTGCTTATTATCTGGTCTGTCATTTTTTCTTTCTTATTAGTATTACTTTTTATTATTAGTATTGATATAAGTTGTTTACGTATTGTTATACTGTTCTGACAATAATTGTTTCACATGACAAACAGAACCTTGATTCAATTCATATTCTAGTATGTGTGTATCATTGTGTTTTGTTCATCCTCATGCCAATTACATTCTGGATTGAAATGCTGATCCTTATTAGATTGTGAATTGTTATGAGTCGTGAATGCAATGCTTGATTCCATAGCTCAGTTATTAGAACATCTGCCCAGTTATCAGAAGATCCCTAGGCTTGGCTCCTGGTGCAATCAAATATTTGCACTTGACAATCCATTTTCAGAATTAAATTGTGGTGCATAAGCATGGATGGAATTCCACTATTTGTAAATCATTGTTTTAAAACTGAATGTATTTTCACAGTGGATCCCTTTTAAAAAAAGCTAGGCTCTGAACTGTGCATGTGTGAGATTAGCATGGGTAAATAAAATAATTTTGTCAAATATTTATTGACTAACGAAAAACATTTGAGGTTGCAACTACTAAAAGTGGTTCTTTCAAGGCATGCAGAGCATGCTAAAAGCTCAATTTTTTGCACTACTGCTAAAAGTGGGACAATGCTCAAATGTTCTGATAAAACTTTGAAAGCAACAAAGAAAAATACGTTAAAGTGACCTAATCAGATACTACTGATCTTAATGTAACAGTACATAATTAATTCGTATTCTTGGATTAAAATAAAATGAAAGGCAGTAATACCAAAATGCATGGTGGAAGAGATTTTATTTTGCTTGTAGAAATGGGGCACCTGACTTATTGGCCCAGTGGTGCTACCTTTCCTATGCGTAAAATAAAATGGCACTTTCACCCCTTGTATCATAACTATTTGTTTTACCTGGGCAAATGAGCGGTAGTATTTTCATTTGTTTCTTTGCAATTCTGTTCATATTGTTCATTCATAATGCTTGTAATAATGTAGTATTCCATAGTATTCGTATTAATTTGGCATATCTACAAGCAAATACTAAAGTTGCAATTGTGCAGGTGTACTGTTTATAACTTTCTATAAGACAAAATTGTTATTACTAATGAAATTACAAAATTGTATAATATCAAAATACTCAATAAATACAAGATTTTGCTTCCCTAATTTGACTTTTTTCTTCCATAAAATCCTTATAATTATTATTGTCAATTTTTTAATAAATTAAGGCGTGGAAAGTATGGGAGTGAAATATTAAAGTTCCCGCGTTGCTTGTTTATTTCAAATTTACCGGTTACTTCTTCGCTATTGGGTGTCCGTTTACCCAATAGAAATTATACAGTACAATGTGGTGTCACCGGAAGTGGAGCAAATAAGGCTGTTCCTTTTAACATTGAGTGCCGTCTAAGAAATATACTCTTTGCTCTACTGAAAGTAGGGAAATATATCTCATAAACATGTTTAAAACGAATCTATCAGAAATACATTACGATTAAAATACATAGATTGATGCACTAGTTTCGGTAATATTGATTATAATCCTTGTTTCCAATTATCCATTTCTAAATTGAGCCTTCTTCTTGCGGTTATCTTCGCAACCGCCCTCGTGTTCACTCTCTGAAAAAGTGGTAGCCAATCGCTGCTTCCGGCCTCCGTGCCTGCCTAGCGCGTTCCACAACTCCCCAACGCTCGTTCATTTCGTGACCGGTGACGAGAAGTGATTTGTTTCGGGACCGATGTGCAAGTTGTGGAGAAGTTATGTGATTGTTCTCGAAGTGCCTTGGTGACCGTGGTTAGAGCCTTTTTAATAAGAAATTTCTGGATAAAATGCATGTGGCGTGTGATTAGGTTTAGAAAGGTTATCCAGAGTAATTCCAAGCAGATTAATATTTGTGCAAAGTAGGTGTGGATGAAGAGTTCAATAGCAAATTGATTTATTTAATAAATCCTGTGAAGTGCCACGTGAAATGTTTCAGTAGCATTGAAGCAAATCTGTGATAGTTAGTTTAGGAATAAAGTGTTTGATAGAAATGCGTTTCTTGAAATGCATTTAACAGGCTGTGTTGTGAAGTGAAAGGTGGGCTCCAAGAATTGCGGAAATATTGTTTGGTGCGCTAGTGTTCACGCTCAAAAGGAGTTGAATGTGATTTGAAGAAATGGTGATTAGGAAGTGCTTGTGAAACTTCGGAAGTGTTGTGTGGCGTACTTCCTGCGCAACGTAGCTGTGCTTCACATCACTGTGGCCTTGGATCTCCACGACGCCATTTCTTCTCGTCGTTCCTAAATTTCCCTCTTTCCTGCCAGGTGGTTAGAAAATTTTAGTCTGAAATGCGTAGTTGTAAAAGGTATGTGTACTAGTCATAAGCGAAAGTTAAAAATGTGTTTTCAACTTTCCATAGTCAGATTTTCAAATAAGTAATAAAACTGCAATGAATAAAATGGTTAGCTAATCAATACGGCTAATACTATTTGAGATTGAAATTGCCTACTTATCAAGCTTTCAAATAAACTAAGTGTATAATCTTAGTTACAGAATTGAGAATTAAAAACATTGCCAGTGTAGTTTGAAATTAAGAAATTAATTTTCTAAGAAATAGATTGGCGACTAAAGTATATTCTAAAAATGTTAAAATGTGCAACTATTCAATGAACTATTTTCCCAGTTCGAGGTCAGGATATTGGAATAACAGATTAAGATATTTAATTATGAACATTGCGTATTTTAATTTTCAAGAATTTTTAAGAGGAAATTCGGTGAATAGTTCATAGCTAGAACAGGGTAGAGCAGGTTCCAATCCACAGGGCAGGGTAGCATAGAACCCCTGGCAGAAGAGGAGCAACGCTTTGGCCTGACGCCGGTGGAGCCTGGAATCGGTGAGTGTTCTGGGTGGAGCCCATCCCGTCCCATCCCGTCCCCTGCCCTTTCCTATGCCCTGTGATCTCTGCAGCGTCCGTGGCAGCCCTAAGGGAGGCCAGGCCGTTTGCGTTCCCTCTCCAGGCTGCACGATGGATGACACAGGTCTAGCCACACGCAAACAAACCTACGAATCTGATGCAGAGAAAGGAGTATAGTGAATATGAAGATGGAAATGAAATGAACGGCACAGCATAAAAACAGAGTAGAAACGTTTCCCCACATGCACTCATTTGTAGGTTGGGAGGGATAATTCTTCCTCGTGCAGTCATTGGCTCCGCTCAGATAATTTTAGGAGGGTAATTGGGTCCGCCTTTAGTTTAATATATTCCTGGGTTACTGCAGCCTTGTATATTGAAATGAACTTCATTTAAATTTAAATTTACTCTTAAGTTTCAATTAATAATTAAAGGTTATCTAGTTAATTTAATGATTATTAAACTGTAATTTCAACGTTCATTATTTAAAATATTTTTCATTTAAATATTTAATACTGGTCATTGATGCATCTTATTTACATTTAAAATGAAATGACTACAGTTGCATAAAAATGTAGCTTTCAATGTAGAAAGATCACCTTGTTAAAGATAAGGATGGGCAAATGTAGGAAGAAGGCTGCAGAGCCCGGTTAGTCTGTAGTATTAAGGCGGTTTGCTTAGCCATATTATGGGATCCACTCATGTTGGATTACCGATACTGCACTTGGCATGCATTCCGTCATAGAGATTGAAGGGGACTTTGCCTGGGTGGGAAACATACTGAGCTGCGAGATGCCGCTGCACTCGCTATTTGTATTGATCTGAATGGCAGGTGACTTTCCTCTGGACTGTAGGCTAGGTCGTTGTTCAGCAGGGAAGGTCACTATGCCCAACTGTCAGTTTAGGAGGGACACGCTTAAAAGGCTTACAGGGCAGGGTGGGTAAGTTAAGTGCTAAGAAAGTATTCCAATTCGATTTTTGTGTTAAAACTTTGAAAATTGTTTGCAACGTCAAGTAAACATTTACTTGCAATATAAGACAATTCAAAACCCGCAGCGAAGAATTGGAATACGCCTTCCCATCTGAAGGAAAACTGAAGGTCTGCCCATCTTTCAGTCGATCTCCAGTGGGAAACTTTAGTCGGCGGACAGCACACTTAACAGGGTGGGAATTTTCGAAACGGCTGGAACGCTTCTTTCATCATATTACCTAAAGATAAACAAATTGACCTTTTTCCTTACAGGATCATAAGTCCGCGTGAAACGTGGCAAAACTCCAATTAAGTCCATGTGTGTACATGGCAAAAATACCTAAATATAAAGGAATAAGAATGACTTTTTAAGATTTTTATCGAACCTCCTGGTAAATACTCTATATAAGCTTACCAAATCAGTAAACACATAGCATTAGAACTGTACTAATGCTTTCTTTCAGCTCTTAATATTGCTTTCTTTCAGCTCTTAATATTGCTTTCTTTCAGCTCTTAATTCTGCTTTCTTTCAGCTCTTAATTCTGCTTTCTTTCAGACT